GCTGTGGGCCTGCCGTTTCCTGCGGCCGAAAGCTTTCGCTCCGCCGCTTCGGGCGCGCGTTGCTGGTAAGGAACACGTCAGCGCGCTGGGCAGAGGGGTGATACGCGCCCATGCTGGGCGTGTTCCTGCTGCCTTGACCGGGAAGGGGTAGTCTGGGAAACAGGAGCTATTTCAGCACCTCCTCACCACGACAGGCCTGTCGCGGGCAGCACTTCGGCCCGCACGCAACACAAGCCCCGCTTCGATCGAGGAGAGCCCGTGCCTTTCACCGCTGCCACTGGTTCAGGAGTGAAAGCGAGCAGCCGGCCAGTCCAGCGCACCGAGCCTTTCCCAGCGCAAACGTAACGCGTACCTTGCCTAAAAACCTTCTCCGCGACCTGTGCTTAAACGAAGAGTACCGATGGCAGGCCTGTGGGCTGCCAACTTCGCCACAGAGCTGCTCCTTCCTTCCCCCAGCCACCCTGCCGCTGCTGCCGTCTGGGTGCTTTAAGCCTCCCGGGCAGGGAGTTTGGGCAGGCCAGGAGCGAAGAACCAAACGGGACTACTGTGGCATCTTCCCGCTACAGTGCTTCTCTGGGGAGAACTCAGCCCGGCTTTCTCTCCTGGGAGCGACAGCTGAGGCAGGATGACAGGATGCCGCCTCTGCTCCCTAGTGAGGTGGGAGCAGCTCTCTTCCCGTTCTGAGCACACGGGTAAGCGCAGGTACGTTAAAGACGGTTGCGCAGCTGAAGCGACAGCGGTGGAACGACTGCGGAAGCAACGCGTAGATTCCCAGACGGGATACCACGGGGCGAGGGAACGCAAATCCCAACGTTTTATGCCGCTGACCTACCCTTTCCACGGAACGGGCTTGTGGCAAGATCAGAACTTACTAAAGACTCGCCAGAAGGCCAAAATGTAACGTGGATCGTGCGCAAGGCATATTCCCAAGTTGCTACTTTTCAGCCGGAGATCGGACTTTAAAGCTGACCTTCATTATGTAACAGGCGTGCTCGAACTCTGGATGAGCGATAATTTACGTAACTGATGTGAAATCTTGTCCTTTATCCATAAAATGACTTCATAGAAAAATAATTCCCAGTTCAGCAAGTGCATGAATCCATTTCCTGCTGCAGTTAGGTCTGTGGCAATTAACCCATCACTACGGTTTTGGGAGGATACCGATTTTAATTTGCTTTACGCAGTATAAAAGCCACTGAACGGGAGTTTGAGATGCATTAGCTTGCTGGTGCCCTATTCGGTAACAAGTGCTTGACAAGTGACCCCTGATACTCTGTTTGTAAAGTGTGCAACTGAAGCGTGTTGACTTCCACAGTCTTTAGCTTTTCCTCAGGCTCAAATCGCTGCTCGTTACTAATCCTGACAGAGACGTACTCTCTGATGCATCTTCTTTCTTGAGGTTCAGGAATGATTCTCTAGTTATTTGAAGAATTTCTCTCAAGCCTTTGTTTTCTTGCTATAACCAGAGAAAGAACAGGCATTTAATGCAACTCCAAAAAGAAGGCAGGATAACCACACCGATCATCTCCCCTCTACTCCAATCACAGGTGTAAGGATTACAGTGCTGGTTTGCAGTCAGGTCGTGCCGTTACCTTCCCAAACCAAGAACACGAGGTTTCTGACCCTCTTACAGAATCACGGAATGGTTTGGGCTGGAAGGGACCTTAAAGCCCATCCAGTTCCAACCCCCCTGCCATGGGCAGGGACACCTTCCACTAGACCAGGTTGCTCCAAGCCTCATCCAGCCTGGCCTTGAGCACTTCCAGGGATGGGGCATCCACAGCTTCTCTGGGCAACCTGTGCCAGTGCCTCCCCACCCTCTCCGGGAAGAACTTCTTCCTGATATCCAATCTAAACCTCCCCACTTTCAATTTAAACCCGTTACCCCTTGTCCTGTCACTACAGGCCCTTGTAAAAAGTCCCCCCCAGCTGCCTTGTAGCCCCTTCAGGCACTGGAAGGTGCTATAAGGTCTCCCCGGAGCCTTCTCTTCTCCAGGCTGAACAAGCCCAACTCTCCCAGCCTGTCCCCATAGCAGAGGGGCTCCAGCCCTCGGAGCATCTCCGTGCTCTCTTGAAAGGGTGTTAAGCATCAAAAAAGAAAGAAAAGAGCTCCAAACACAGAGATGGTAAGAAGAGGGTAATTAAGTTCAAATGTTGCATATCAAAAATAAAAATCTCCCATTCTTCCCACACACCCTGGCCCATAAGGAACTGCTTTGCTAGCACTCAATTGAAGAGCAATAGCCTTGACTCTCCAATGACGAGCACCTGAGACCATCCCCCAGCACAAAATTATTATTAAAAGAAGAATAATCTCTAGAAGCCAAAGGTGCGGGTGTTATTATGTCTTAATTGGGGTGAATCGGTGTTATTTTCCGGCTGTTTTGCTCCATAGGGACGTAAAGAAGGAGAAAGCTTAAGGCAGTACATCAATGTGAGCCACTGATTTCTGGTGCTGCGGTACCACCTGTGCCCAACCCGACAGCAAGCTGGAGTGGGACACAGTACTTACAGTCCCGCCAGCGCGGGAAGCGTAACGGAACAGCAGCCTGAGGGAGTGACGGGGTAACTGTGCTCCCTGGTGTCTGAGCTACTGCTCTTCCGTGTCCTACTCACCTCAAGCTGGATGATGCGCTCCTGCTCTTTACAGCCATGCTTTTCATCGATTTCAATGGCTTTCCTCATCACTGCTGCCATTTCCGTGATTTGGTCTACGTGCACCTGCAGCTCCTGCGACATCAAAATAAAGCAGCGACAGGTTTAGTAACGTATTTTCTGCAGCAGAGCATCAAACGTGCGTTTTGACTGTGGTGCCACGTAACAGCAATGTTTTTTCAGCAGCAGACCTGCATTCACACGCTCTCTGTAACTTTACCGCATGAGCAGCCGCTGTGGTGCGGTGGATTTCAATCGATCTGGTTTGCCAGGCAGTGATCCCTTTGAGTAGAAGTTTATATACACCTAAATGACCGTCTCCCATAGCAGCTGCGGGTTAGCCCCGTGCTTGCTCTGACGAGGCCTTCCTGTGCTGCAGGAACTGATGTCATTTGGGCTGTGCAGAAGGACTAAACTCATCCAAGAACAGAGGGTACATGGCAGGTGACATTCATTCCGTTGGTTTGAAACCTGATCTCAAGCCCAGTACGGCCAGTACCAGCCCAGGGGTAGGCATTTACCTCTTAAAAAGCCCCAGGTGAAGTAGTCATCCTTACTATGTCATGCATTAGGAAGCTCAGATCTGCCCTGTGCTCTTTCTTAGATATTTCTGCTTGAATCCATTTCCAATTCCAGCTTATCTGGGGTCCGGACTTCAGACTCCTTGTTCTTGCTGGATTTTATGAAAAACTTTTGTGTCCTCAGTGACCTCGTGTCCGTTCCTTAATGCCACCGGGGTACTCCCTGTTACAAATAACTACCACGTCTCACTGAAAGAGTCAACAAGGAGGGGAGAAAAGAGGGTCCTTTGGTCTGCCCCTGTCCTGTTCCGCCAGCAGGAGGGGGGTGGCAGGAGCCATTAACACAGGCAGCGCCGCCTTCACAAGGAAGTGAGGCTTTGGATCATCAGGGATGTGATCCCTTGCCCGGGCCTTGTCGGTTCAGGTGGCAGTTGATCTTCTCTCCTGCCAACCTACCAGCAGGAAAGGCTTAAAGGGTCACTGCTGCTTTGCCCCTGCAGATCTCAGTAAAGACCCTCTGCCCCCTCTGGTGTCCAGTGCTGTTCGATCAGGCCAAATATTTAATGGTATTTCTGGAAGCTTTTCTTTTTCGTTGCCTTTTTCTCAGCTTGTCTTGTATTCCAAGCCTGCTCGCGTCTGACCTGGCCGTTGGACAAAACTCACAGTGGTTACTGACTTGGGAAAAGCCGAAGAGCAGGACTGAAACGAAGAGTGGTACAGCCTAAGCCCCACCTGGAAGTCAGGGGTGTGAGTGGAGGTCCTTCCATCTAGCAGCTATCGAAATGACTAAACTACCGTGAGGAACTGCCCGACTGGAATCACAAACTTTACCTGAGGGAAACAAGTATACTTGACTGCAACCAACATCAGCCCTCCCCAACCTGTCCCCCTGCCATAGCTACGGTGTAGCTGCTGACCCATTACACGCCCGCTCACACTCCGGGGCGGGTGGCAGAGGGAAGGAACTTGCTGTACATCTTTAGTTTCTTCTCAGTTGCCAGTGAAGGTGATCACGTGAAGCACTTTTTCAATGAAAAACTCAGTGTAGGTTGAAAGGCAGCTGTGACCAGTGGTAAGAGAAGGAGTTGGCACGGGCGTACCCTTGAGGAGGCCTGGGACGGCGTCCGGGTGTTAAGAGGTATGGCTGTCCTCCCTATTTCCTATTTTGCCTGCTGACACAGCCTCTTGATCAATAGGATTTCAGGCCTGTTCCACGGTCACTGAGGTTACATGCTAACACAGACCTGTACGGCTCAACCCAAAGGCAGATGCATAAAACTCAGATCTCCCCTTTTCATTCGCACGCACGGATTCTTTTCTCCAAGGAGGAGAAGAGACCAGGCGCGTTTTCAGGCTTTGTTTCAGCTGGGGAAACGCACACGGCACGCTCCTGGCGCCGGGTCGCTACTACCAACGCGCACTTCTCCCCTGCGCACGGCGCTGCTAAAAGAGATCGCTTTTCTGTTTCGAGGAGCTGCACCTGCAGAAATCAAGGATGTGGTAATAGGCTGCTGTAAACAGGCACTACAGTTAATAGCTGCCACTTGAGAGGAGAGCAATTACCAGTTACAGCCAGATTAATTCCTGAGGTGCGACGGGTTTTTCAGTTAACAGGAGAGGTGTGTTTTAAGACTGCTTCAAGATCGTTCGGTCTTACTGAATGTTAGGGCTGATCAGAAGAATAAATAATGAAATTCCAGAGATCCCAAGTGTCAGGTTAAGGGTGATAAATCCTTTCCATTAGGCAATCCTGTGGGATCAGATTTTTTTTAATTTCTCCCCTCCCCCTGATATCCTGATATTCTTCCTATTCCAGAGATCCCAAGTGTCAGGTTAAGGGTGATAAATCCTTTCCATCAGGCAATCCTGTGGGATCAGATTTTTTTTAATTTGCCCCCTCCCCCCAAGCTTTTAATCCATGGAAGTGTTCCTAAATGAAATTTCACAGTCCCTGTCAGGGACCCTCTTGTCTTGCTACTCCTGAGGCTGTCAGATATGTGATATGTTAAAGTAACTTCTTTTGGAAAGAATGACAGGATGGTTTGGGTTAGAAGGGACCTTAAAGCCCATCCATTTCCAACCCCCCTGCCATGGGCAGGGACACCTTCCACTAGACCAGGTTGCTCCAAGCCTCATCCAGCCTGGCCTTGGACACTTCCAGGGATGGGGCATCCACAGCTTCTCTGGGCAACCTGTCCCAGTGCCTCCCCACCCTCTGCGGGAAGAACTTCTTCCTGATATCCAATCTAAACCTCCCCACTTTCAATTTAAACCCGTTACCCCTTGTCCTGTCACTACAGGCCCTTGTAAAAAGTCCCCCTCAGTTTCCTTGTAGGGCCTGGGATATATACTTACCATTTTTTAGGTATTTATATTAAAGATCTAGTCCTAATTCAGTAGATCCTTTCATACCAATCTAAGTAGTCCCAGTGATTTCAGTGGCACTAATTACATACTTGTGATTTTGTAAAGAGATAAGAAAACATCACATTTTTAAACTCTGTTTTCCCTGTCTGCAGACCCTAACTCTGCTCTGCAGGCTTGGTTCGCTGAGGTCAAGGATCATTAAAACACTTAGAATAGTATTTGTCTCTGCAGTTACATTTAAAGTGTACCACAACACTTTGCTAGAAAGCTCCTGTTTAGGTCTGTTGGTGACCTAGAAGCTCGAATTTTCCTGAAAATACATTTAAAAAGCCTAAACTAGATATTAATGCTATAAAAACATATATTAGCCTCATATGAAGCTGCTGAATACTCACAGATACCTCCCTCGTGACGGTTTACGAAAACACTGTTTGCCAGCGCTTTGCTCTTCCACCTTTCAAAACCCAGAAGGCGAAACCCGCCTCACACCAGCCACTTTCACCACCCTCCGAGCACCTCAGCCTGCCCGGGATTCGCCTCAGCAATCCCGGCCGGTAGCGAAACGAGAACAGAGAGTCGAAGCGATGAGCTGAAGCGTGTGCTCGGTTGGTCAACACGCAGAGGAGCTTTTGAATTATATTTTTTTAAAATTTACAGTATTTAGGGGAAAAAAATATTTTTGAATTCCAAAAGCTTAGTCCTCCTACTCTCCCCAGTAAGCACAGGTTTAGTAATGACTTGTTGGTGTCAGCAGTGTAAGTTGAAGCCAGTCTAAATGTTTAAATGTTCCTGAGATCTGTGGGCATCTAGAATGCTAATAGGGCTGTTGCCTTAAAGCCCTAGGCAAAGCAGAGGTAAACTGAGGAGCTACAGCAACGAACTGCTACTTGATTAGAGCTTAAATAAATCAGGAGCTAGTAAGGCTGACTTACCAGACTGGTCAAGTTTCCTGTTTCAGGGACACGAGACTTGTTAGTACAACAATATAAAAACTGGGACGAAGTAAGCTTTGAGCAGATCCACTACAAACTAACGTAAGTGTTAACAAGGGGGAAAGAACCAATGAACTTATTACCTTGGAATGCTGTTCCTTTAACTTCATTATTATACTCGGATCATCCTTTTTGCTCGCCATAAGCAGCCTAAACATCTGTTCTCTGTACTTGCTCATGATGAGTTCCAGAGCAGACTGATGCTCTTCGAGAGATGTGCGTAGTTCTACCAACAGAATTTTAAATTCAGTTCAGGTGGAGCAGAGGAGAACCGGAACAAAACACAAAAGCCCTCAGTGGAGTGTCCCCCCCTCCTTGCCCCATAAAATCTACGTCAGCTCTGCAAAATGCCTTCAGTGGTGACTGTCCTGGGAAATTGTTGTTCAGTCGGAAGCAGAAGGTTAACACGACTGCACGCTCAGTCCCTTCGGCTGCCGCAAGTCATCCTGAACGCAGCCGAGGAGCTTTACTCCAGCCACTATAAGCAACACTGTACAGAAGCTGGAAAAAAGTTTACAGGCGTGTTTTAACCTCCAGCTTGGTAAAATAAGTGTTCAAAACTGCTTGTGTTCAAAATATACCAAGTCAAAGGACAAATAAGTCCTGAGATGAGACAAGATTTGCATAAATGGACTTTATTGCCTCCTTTGCTGAATAAAGCTGTTAGAACAGCTACTGTATTCCAGGAGGAAGAGTGCATTGTTACAGTGTGCAGAATTCTAGAAGGAATTGCACTACGGCACTCACACTACAACTTGTCCTGACTGCTCCCAGAATAGTTCTTTTTAGCAGTGGGAAAACACGTTTCCAAACAGATAAATGTAACACTTGTAGAACGTAAGGATCTCCTCACTTGTGCTGAGCATTAGGTAAGGACTGAGAAAGTGATTTTCCACAACTCTCTCTTCTCATTAATCACAGTCGCAGTGGTTGGGCTTTGAGACTCTCTATTAGACTGCATTATGATCAGTTAAATGGACCAATTGAGATTGGAAGAAAATATGACTTCTCTAATAATTTTCTTTGAGAACAGATCAGTTGTAAAAGTCTCTGGACCTTGTCAAGGACAGAATATTCACATTTTACCTTTATTTTCCTGTTGCAATTCCCTGATCTGTCTGTTTTCTTGCTGGATACCCATCACTAACGTAGATCGAGGACGATGTCTCGCTACTTCATTGAGCTCTTGAATTTCTTCTTGGTACTAGTTATTAAAAAATTAAAAAAACACAGAATAAAACCCAACCACAATGTATTTGAGTACCGGAGGGCAAGCATTACTCAACGCGTCACAAAGGACCAGTTCTAGTGTCGACCAAAGTCTGTCACCAGCAAGACAATGCTTGGTTTTAAATAATAATATCAAACAAACACAATTCTGAAGGCGTTGCCCTTTGGAGACACAGAAGTGTCACCTTTGTTTTTAAACAAGTTTTGTACCTCAGACATGCAGAGTGGTCATTATTTAACCTTCAATTCACGCAGGTTAAATTGACCATCAAGTAATTTAAAACTGATATACATAAAGTAAAGAAAAACCAGGAGGTTAATACCTCTGGATATTTACTGTGGCTTTCCCAATACCTTAAACTGCAAGGTTATTCATGGAGGTGAGTGAATGGATCCCAACTCTCAACAAACGGGTAAATTTAGTACTCTTCATCTGAACTTATGAAGCCGCTGCGTGACTAGTTTTACAGGGATGAAGCACACGCAGGGTTTTATTATTTTACAGGCCCATTAACACATCCTGTGTTCTGTTAAAATAACAGGATGAATTCCCCGTATGGAAAGTCAGTAGACACCTTTATGTTTTTCCACAAGTTCTCTAGTGAGAGTCATGCTCAATCTAACAACATGCCTCCAACAGCTTAACGCCAGCATGGGATGGTCACGGATAAACCTAAGAGACTGTGCTGAAACAAAAGGAGACTGTGAGAAGAGAAATGATTCTGAACAGAAGAAAGTGTGACAGGGCCTCTACGTGATTCAGTGTGCCCGCTGAAATTAATAAACCAAGCAGAGTTTCACAGAGGAGCAAAAGACAAGACACCAGACAATGGTTTGTAAGGTACCAACCCCACTTCCGCCAGTGTTCCTCAAAGAATTAGTTTTCAATATTGGAGCTAGAGTAACAGAGAAAACATACTCAGGACGAAACTCAATTTACAACCTATTTTTAGATCATCGTCACACCTGTAATGAAAATACTAAGTATGGCATTAAAGGATTAAGCAAATAACATGCTGATGCTACATGGCACAGCAGCACACAAAAATGAGTTAAAACCACGTGCTTCCAAGCTGTTCTTCAACGGAGCAAAGAAAGTTGAAAACCGAACCTGTTTCATCGCTTCAACCCGCTTGTTGAGGGCCGTCGTCTGTTCGATGAGAGCTTCTGCGGCGTTGTCGTGCTCCCTCAGCCGTTCCACCAGCGCTTTCGCATCCGCCAAGGCTTTTTCAATCGTGCAACTCATTTCTGAAGATGAGAAATGTATTATTTTCCCCGACGCCGCCTGCTTGCTATACCCAGAACAGCCACTGATGCGGTAACCGCCTACTCGTTTGTCGCAGTCTACGGCAGCTGAATGCAACCTTTCCCTCAGAAACCACCAGACCGTTTGCCGTCTTCTAGGAGGAGGGAAAAGTTCGATGCCTTAAGAATACCCTGAAGTCTGCCTTTCCTCTCCCTCCTGTTTATTTGCTGTTGAGACCATATATCCGTGCCAGGAAATGAACGTGAACTCTGTGTTGCGAGGAGAGCATCGACACGCTAAGTGCAGAAAGGGGACTGCTGGACACGTGGGAACCAGGCAGCACACGGTGTTGCGAGGAGAGCATCGACACGCTAAGTGCGGAAAGGGGACTGCCGGACACGTGGGAACCGGGCAGTGCACGGCCTTCCGTGAGGAGCAGAGCAAAAACCCTGAATCAACAATTTCATGAATTATTTCATTTCTCAGTGCTACCTTTTCCTTTTTAAATGTGCCCTCCTACCAGCCAGATATGCTTCAAGGTACCTCAGAAGTATAAACCCAGCAGGAAAGAGAACGCCAAAGGACTACAGCGAGCTGCAAGACTTCGGTGATTACATCAGCAGAGAAGGGACAGCGCAGACCGACAGAGCGGAGAAAACCATGGGCGGAAAATTCGGAGCGGCAAAGCCTTGTGTTACCCTCATGTCTGTAAATGAACACCAGCATCACCGCG